GGCGATGCCTGGGGGCAGAGCAGGACCGCTGCCCCATTGCAGGCCCGTGAAGCCCCTTTTGTCCTGGCACACTGGCCAGATGCAGGTGCTGGAGCACGGAGACCCATGTGCCCTCGTTCCCTGACCACAGCCCTTACCCAGCTGGATCCCTGTTCTGCCCCCTGCTCTGCGGGCTGGCAGGACAGGATGTAACTGGGCTGGCCCATCAGTGGGCTCCGCAGCACCATGAAATCCGGCACTGTCCTGCTGCTGGCAGAAAGCAGCTCTGCCCCCTTGGCAGACCCAGTGGTGCCCACAGGACCGTGTGAGTGAGCTGTGACCCCATCCCAGCAGGGCTGGTTCCTGCCCCCATCCCATCCCTGTGCCAATGCATTGCCACAGTGCTGCGTGAAGCCCACCTCTCTGCCATCAGTCCCCAAGCAGCTGCTGCAGAAAGGAGGGTCTTTATTGAGAGGCGTCTGCAGTGGAAGCACAGGGGATAGAGAGCAGGACCTGGGCACAAGCCCTGGTGCCACCACTGGCACACACATAGAGAAGCAAACCCAGGGCTGGGTCCGAGTTCAGGGCATGCTGGGTGATGCAGCAAGTCGGTGCAAGGGCAAAGGAGGAGCATGGAGGAGCTTCCCTGGGCAGATCTTCATGCCCATCTGGGTCCAGGGTAGGGGGTCCTTGCCTTCCTGCTGGGCATCATCAGACCTGCTCCCCGTGATGCCTCTTCCTTAGGCTTGGCCTGGAGATCACTTGGGGCAGGAAGGGGAGAGGCTCAGAGTCCTGCCCAGGGCCAGCCCTGCCTGGGCACGGCCCCACCACAGCTGAGCACCCTCTCTGCCAGCCCCCAACCCGCACACCATCTGCACCACTACCTCGCACAGGCTCCACGCAGCGCCGGGCACATCTCCAATGGCAGCACTTCAGCCATCCACTGCACTGGAAATCACTGCTGCACTTATTGGGCAGGGGCTTGCTGCACCGCACGGGGTCAGGAGGGCACATCCCGGGCTTCCCTGTGACACAGTGCATCGGTCAGGGGTGCACAGGACATGGCCCAGTCCCACGCGCCAGGCCCTGGCAGGTGCCCCTGCTCCAGGATGTTTCCCCGCGGGGCTGCAGGTGCCAGTGGGCTGATGGGGCCCTTGCAGCTACTGCTGCCGGCTCCCGCCCCTCCACGCACCACATGGCATCCAGAGCCAGGGTGCTGCCCCACTGGGTGCCCCGACACCTGTCCCTTTTGTGGGCAGAGGGAGACCCTGGCACAAGCCTACCTGGAGTGCGCCGGGCTGCAGCCCCTGCACTGCTTCCTCCAGGGCCTCTCGCTGAGCTCCTGGCTGCACCCCTCCCTGCACCTCTCTGTATTTGCACCACCCATCTGCGGCCCCACCAGGGTCTGGGACTCCTGGTTGGCCTCCTCCTGGCCCTGGCCCTGGCCCTGGCCCTGGCCAAGCCAGAGTGTACATGACCAGGAAGGAGGCTCTGGCAAGGATGGCCCTGGGGACTGCGGGATCACCTCCCTTTCCCTGGTCCGCTCCCATCTCTGGGCAGAGCACCACGGGCAGTGTCCGCCTGCACCTTGGACATGTTTGAGGGCCGGTGGATGCTGTCCAGTGTGCTCTGCTCGGTGTCCCTGCTCGATGCGCTCGTTCTGAACATTTGACCCGCGCTCCTGGGGGAGCCTGCGGACCTCTGACCAGAGCAGAGATGGGCACAGAGGAGAGGGCAGAAGCCTTGCCCAGGATCGCAGCCCCTCACCCTCTCCAAGGTGGGCCTGGGTCTCTGCGGTGGGGCTGGGGGAGCAGATGGGTCAGGGAAGGGGTCACAAATCCCTGTCCCCTCTTCCCTCCTCCACCTGACACGACCTTCACCATGGCCCACATGACTCACCCAGTGTCACGCTTCCCCGTGCCTCCAGCCATTGCCCCAGTGCTGCGATGCCTCTCACAGCATCCAGCCCTGGCAGGCTCAGCCCCTTGCTGACCTCCTAGCACTTCTTCCTGCAGGACCGGAGGCTCAAAAAATTGTTTTGCTTTCTGCAGCAGCCGCCATAAACGAACTGTTGGCAGCTCCTGGAGACCCGGTTGTAGTAGAAGCGAATGAGGTACTGTGCACAAGGGCTGCGGTCTGGGGGCAGTTTGCAGATGTCTGACCCAGAGCAAAGCCCGGCAGTGTGAAGGGGTATAGACATGCCCAGGACCGCAGCCCCTCGCCCTCTCCTCCAGCCCAGCTGCCTCCCCCTGAGCCCGTGGCAGTAGCGTGGGATGTGCGTGTTGCAGGGCTGGGGGCCCTGGGGAGCTGGCAGAGGTCCCCCGGGCAGAGGGATGCGGCTCACATGGAGCTGCGCCTCCTCCTCGTTCAGAGGGATGAGATGGCAGGGGGCAATGCCCTCACAACGTGGCAGCTCCTACCCACCTGCCCACGGCTCACACCACCCCCAGAACAGGGGGCAGGAGAGAGGGGCTGGGGCAGGTTTGGGGGCTGAGAGCTGGGGGCTGGAGGGGAGCACTCACCTGGAACGAGCTGCCCAGATGCAGGCTGCAGCCCGGCCCAGAGGGCGAGGAGCCCCGCCAGCACCAAGAGGTTGCCCCACTTCATGGTGCTGCTGTCCTGCCATGCCCAGCACCCGACCGGGCCAGCTGGGCTGTATCCCATCACCCAGCCCGGGACTGGGGGGCCCTTGCACACGGCCCCAGCTCCACTCTCTGCCCCTCCCAGGGGCACCGGGAAGGTTGGGAAAGAGCCCTGGGCCTCTGCGCAACGGGGCTGGGCCTGGATAACGGCCGGCACGTGGGGCTCGCGGGCTCCCTGCTCT